ATCAAGTTGAATCATTCTGAAAAATTGTATTTCAGTAGTAACTGTGTTTTATAATATGTCTGCTTAAATGTGGTTTCCAAAATCAATCTGGGATCTTGAAACATTAGCATATATTAACTTAAATTAAGTAATAGATATTCAGTGAGTATCTAGATCACTTCTAAATAAGATAAAAGATTATTAAATAAGATACGATTTATTATCTTTAAAGTGAGATGTAAGATAAAATATTAGTTACTAAACCCAAGTTGATCTACTTTTAGCTTCTTTTCAACAGAGAGATTAAAGGATATTTAGGTTTGTTAATGAATCCACTTATTTGCCACACTGAGAAATTGTGTTTAAAAGAAGCAAATTTTGTACATCTCTGTAAGTTGTTAGATGGCATACCCACAAAATTTGCTCATATGTTACAAAATACTAGCAAATGTATATAATAGGCAATCCACAATTGTCTATTTCCTCTGGAAAGTAAAGGTTAACAAAGGTTGAAAATTTTAATCAATATATTTAAGTCAGACCACTAACAATAAGAATTTAAAAAACTCTACACAACGTAGTCAAGAAACCTAAGACATAGTTTTGTTAAGGACAAAAAGAACAATTACTCCTACAGTAATTATTTAGCAGTTTACAGAAAAAGAAAAAGGAAAGTGAAGGAAAAAATCTGAATAGAAATAGAAAGTTACAAAGGGCCTGTATCTGGCAAAAGGGAGGAGAGAGAAAAACAGAGACAAAAAGAGAATGTGAATTTTGTGAATTAGTCATGTTCACCAAGGTTGAATGTATTCAATTCAAGGCTTTAAAATGGGCTTTACTATTAATAAGGTACTGATGAAAATTAAGAGTTCGGTTTTTCCTCTCTTAAAAGAACAGAATTGCTTAGATTATTTTAGCTTTGTTTAGACTATAAAGGAGTTTTCTTTATCTTTGGAGTGTCTCTAGGAAACTGCTACTGGCTTAGTGTTTGTGTCCTCTAATACACATATGTCGAACTCTGATGCCTTTAGGAAGTCCTCAGCACAGGATCTCATCAACAGGATTAACACCCTTTGAAAAGAGAATCTAGACTACTGCCTTGACTCCTCTACTGCGTGAAGACACAGTTGGAAGCTTCAGTTGTGAACCAGAAAACAGGCCCTTGGTAGACACTTGATGTCCTTTGATCTTGGACTTCCCAGACTCCAGAAATGTAAAAAAAATAATGTTGTTTATAAGCCATCTAGCCTATGTACTGTTATAACAGCCTGAGTTAACTAAAATAGAAACATTGTATCTTATCAAAATAAATTCGTTTCGTTTATCATATCCTGGATTAGTCAAGATAACAACATCTTCTCACTGTTAAAAAAACTAAGTTTTTGTTTTGTTTTTTTGCAGCATTGAGATGGAACAAGCACTCTGCCACTGAGGTATTTCCCAGCCCATTTTTATTCTCACCTTAAACTTACTGTTCTTCTGCTTTGACCTCTCTAGTAGTGGGATTTATATGTGTGTGTGTGTGTGTGTGTGTGTGTGTGTATGTACAACATACATTATGTGAATTGTTCAGAATATACGGCCAATTAAGATGAGATGCTTGACTTGTTAGGGTATTTTTATACAGGAAAATGATACCAGTATAAGTACTTCAGGAACTGCTATAAGTACTTTAGGAATTTGTCAGTGCCCTTCCTGTCATGATAAATCCTTATGTTCCATGGCCTGACAGCAGACAACAATGGCAGATGTTATCAGTTAATTTCAGTTATTTAAATGGTGTATGCTACTGAAATAACAAAATTTCTTTGTCACTTTTGGCATAATAAACTCACCAGACCTTTATTGCCACTTTATTTCTTTTGCCTTTCAGATTATTGTCTTACTGTGATGTTTTTCTCCTAGCCAGAATGCTCTCTCTTCAACAAAAAAGAACAGTCTGGAGCCCATGGGGTGAAAAACTATGATAGATACTCTAGGGTATGTTTCTGACAGCATTACTTCAATAATTCTGAGATCATACCCCTGCGTACAGATTGCCAGACCGCTGGTAGAGGAGATGATAGGCTCATAAAACTGCTAACTCAGATCAAGCAGAACAAAAATGAATTGTAGGGGACTCAATGAACTGTTGAAGAATGATTTTAATTTTCATGAATTTTGGTTTGGAACATTGCTGGCTTTTTAATGTTTTATTTTCTGGCCAAAAGAAATTCGTTTCTCTTTTCTCCTAAGCTATATACAACTCAAAAACTTGGTAAATTTATAAACAAAATGAAATATTTATCTTTTTCTCTCTCTGCTAGATTCTTTCAGAATTCTTAGTGAGTATTCTTATTTTCATAGATAATAGTTATTTTTATAAGTTCAATAAGAATCTGTTCTTTGAAATAAGACATAATTGGGAAAATTGGTTAAAATATCAAAGCTTTGTAAAACAACGTATTTGAAAAGATGTCTAATCAGATAATTCAGTTTTTAGTAACCAGAGTTGACAGAATTAGTATTTAGAAAACCTTTTTGAAAACACCATCTCACAGGGTTCTCAGACATATATATACATATAAGTAAGGAAGGTTATTTCTTGGCAGGCCTAGGAACATCAGAATGTTTTGAGGATCTCAAAATAAAAGCAAATAATCCAAAACTATAAGTACTACAGATGAAGTCTGATAACAAATTCTTGGCTTGCTTTCTACTACTAAGACATCTAAGTCCAGTCTGAGCTTGCTTACAAAAGTTATGTCAAAGAAAATTTGAAAAAAAGCCTTGTATTCTTGCTACACTTACATAAATGATTAGATCAAATTTTATGAGACTAGGCATATTTTATGTATATTTTTATTTGATTTTCCTTAACTAAAATGGTGATGACTGCAGAAATTTTGTTTCAATGGAAAATTATAGCCCAAATTATCAGATTCTAGTCCTATTCATGATTTTTGGGGTATTTCTCACCTCTTAGTAAACCAGACTCTGCAATTTTGTCAGTAGTTAAGCTTTCCATTTTTCTTTTCTCCCTAATGTGGTAGGTACCAACTGAGAGCTAAAGCCTACTTCACAGATCTTTATTCTGTAGGTAAGGGCCAGGGATATAGCTCAGTGGCACAGCACCTGCCTGGCAAGCATAATGTTGTGAGTTCGATTCCCAGCAGCAGATATTTTAAAAAGACTCTAGATAGTCTCATCCCTTAGCTCAACAAGCTGAAGCTCTATGACTAGTTACACACTTCAATGAAGGTCTTCCTACAATGGTTTGAGCCACTTAAGAAGCTCACCAAACACACACAATTTTTCATTATCTGTTCTAGGAAATAAGGGTCATTCACACTGTTCTTATTCCACCATCTGTCTAAAGATACTTCCAGTCCCAAATCTAGAAATCTTCTCAACTGGGTGACCTCTGGTCTAGGTTCATCATCTCCTCTAGCCATTAATTTTTGCATATCTCTTTGTTTCCTTGTGCTAATCTATGCATTTTTCTCCTTGGAGATCCCTTATCACGTAATCTCTAATCTGATGCTTCTCTCCAAAGAAATCTATCTAGCTTGCTTTTTCTGTGTGAAATTCCAAGAGAAGTTCTAGAAAAAGAAATGTGGGAATATACTGAAATCCCACAGAGTTGGTATAGTGATTATTTTAAAGTGAAAACATTTACACTAAAGAAGCAGTACAAGGAATTCTTATCTTTTTTTTTTCTTTTGTACCAAGGATTGAACTCATGATACAGCACTTACCAGGCAGACACTTATACCACTGAGCTAAACCCCAGGCCCTAGGAACTCTTATATTCAAAATCTAACTAGAGTAGCCAGAAAATACTTCTCCATAACCTTCCTCCAAAGGGAGTTTCATGTGAATTCAGCTGCCAGGAAGAAATTAGCATCAAAAAGTCCAAAAAACTTCTATAAATTCTTGGTGACTCTTAAGAGGGGAAGAAAAAAACACTTTGTTCCATTTAGCATATAAATATTTTATCTCTGGCTCTTTGGGGAGCCATTTATCATGAACTACTGCCATATGAATTCATAAATAAACCTTATCTTCTCTCCTATTAATTTATTATCAGTTAACTTGCAGGACCTCAAATACAGTTTGGAAGAGGAAAACTTTTCCAACCAACATAATTTTTTCTCATTTTCCATAATTATAATACACCAATCCTTCATTACTCTAGAAGAAATAATAATAGAAAACACATCAACACAAAGTTTTCAAGGAAATAGGAAATTTCCATTATGTAAAAATTCAATTTTATAAATGAGTCAGTAGGTGGCACCAAAGAAAAAGTACATCTTGAATGTACTAATCATGAATCCTGGAAATCAAATAAAAGCTATTCCTTCATGATGATCTGTATTATTTTATCTTTAAATGTCCTATTTCAGTGCAGTTGTAAACTGAAAATTGTCTCAAGGCCTTTTTGAAAGAAAACAAAACATCACAAATAAAAATAAATCTTAGAAAACACTTTGAAAAAAAATTTCATGTGTTGCTATCAAAGACTAACTCTGGGCACCCACCTTTTGGGATTAGACACAAATTAATAGAGAATACAAGGTCTTCCGGTTGTGTATCTGCAGATTGGGATTCACTGAACTGAAGCAGGAAGATAAGGGAATGGGAGCATTTTGGCAGTTTCTGAAGCTTTTCAGCATTTCAGGTGACAGGACAAGGACTTCTACTATCACTTCTAAAAATACATGTGAAACCATGACAGGAAAGGATGGAATCGTAGCAATCTCACAGAAAAAAATTTTTAAAGATATCTCACAGGTCCATCTGGCCATCCTTATTTATACCAAACCAACATCAAAGCTGCACATTCTTGAAAAAGTGGTTATAAAATTTTCCCAAAACAAAGAGGGATGGAAGGAGAGAGAAGAAAGAGAGGAAGGGAAGTGGGGAAAGAGAAACTCTCTCCCCACTCACAGGCACAGACAACACTATGACGGTCAGGTAGTGCTTCTCCCTGAGTTCTCCTCCCTAACTAAATTCCAAGTTGTTTGTCAACCACTTACCCTGGCAAATTCCATGGGTTTGGGAAGAAGGCACATGACCATGACATCAAAGCGAACATCGCATACCGTCTTTAACCACTTGGTGACAAACTGAGGCTTCAGTTTTTCCACCAAGCTTCCAACTTCATCATCCATCATATATGCTGTGGAGTGAAACCACTGAAATACCATAGCCACCAGCCTTGCCAAGCTTTCTGTAGGTGTGTTCTCACTGGGCGTACAGAGGCTCACCTGGAGGGGGCAGAACATAACCTGTTCAACTTCCATCCATCTTACAAATTTAATAATGTTCATTTAAAGACAAAAAAAAAAAAAAGAGAAAGAACGTTCCAGATAATCCATTTGAAACAGGAAGTTTTATAAATGATGATCACTTATTCAGAACTGTGTTCCTTTCTACTGGGTTAGATGGATTGCAATAATAATATCCCCTCAAGATTCTACCTCCCAGGAAAAAGAAAATAATATATATATGCAACATAGATAATTATACTATTGGTTTCTTTTAGTTCACTGGAAAGAAGAGTTTGTGCTTATATTGTTTGATCAGTTTTGCATGCCTATATCTTATAATCTGAACAAATATTTTGAAGATAACAACACACAATATATTAATCATTGCTGATTTTCTATTTTTGAAATTCTGTATCATGGTTTCTATTTTTTTTCTCTTTAAAATAAAAAATTATCAGAAAAAAGATTTTACTTTCCAACAGGCATTTTTTTCTGTAAGCAATCTATTATACAACTTGTACTAGCAAAATGCTCATAAAAAGATAAGTCAGTGAAGTGATATCTTCATCATAATATACCCATAATATAAAACAATCATAATATACCCATAATATAAAACAATCTATTTACATTTCAGTTCTAAAATAATCAGATTTAGGTAAGGACATTGTAGCAGTAATAATTCTGATACCTTGGAGCTCCCAGTCAACACATTAGAAAGAGATTTTTTAAAATAACACCATTCATTTACTCATTCTAAGTTATCTTTTATTGAGCACTGAAGCAGGGTACAAGAATAAAAAGAATAAAGCACTGTCCATGCCATCAATGAGTTCCCAATAGCAGTCGCTACAATGTCATTAGAGAATAAGTTTTTGGAAACAAGACAGATGAGATTAATGACTAACTCCAAATTTGGTAAAGAGTTTTTCAGGAAATTGTATGCAAGCACAAAAGAGATACATCACTATGGAGACAGAATCAACAGGGAATGTTAGGGGACTGCATTTTGGTAGAACTGATGCACCCAACTAACTTGAGGCTTTGTTTCTGTACATTTGATCTCCACTGAGTAAGTTGATGCAAACCACATTTCTTGTATTAGATTGGCTATAATTTCTCTGGTTACACAAACCTGACATAAATATACAAAACATTCTGCAGAGACTGAACTTCAAGAAAAATTTCATATACAAAAATGATGGAGTGTAAATTATTTTAAATGTAGTTCCTAATGATCGGTACTAGCAGCCTTTCCATTTGTTTCTTGTCAAGAAGATACATTTCACTGCCTATGGATTTCAATGCCTTGCTGCTTATTAAAGTTAACGGAGGAGATTTTTTTAAAATTTCCTAAGCTGTATGTGGCAGTATATCCTCTAATTCCACCACTTGGGAAGCTGAGGCAGGAGGATTGCTGCAAGTTCAAGGCCAGCCTGGGTTACATACTGAACTCACAGCCAGCATGAACTACATAATACAACCCTGTGTCAAAAACACCAAAACAAACAAACAAACAAAAAGTCCTAAGATTCTAAGTTGGGATCTAAGTATTGTTACTTTTTAAAAGCTTTCTTAGGTAAATCTTACATGTATCCAGGATTAAGAACTACTGTCCCAGATTATTCAATATTACTGCTAAGATTAATTTTCCACTATTCCTTTCAAAAGAACAGGAGAAAGTCCTCATTAGTACAGTGTTGAAATGAGAAATAAGAAAGCAGAGAATAGTTAACTTCTTTTACTTACCAAAAACCATATTCCAAATTGACTGAGCAGCCTCTGGTCATGTTTATCATCATCTTTGTTATCAAAATCAGTGTTGTCCAGGGAATGGTGCGAAGAGGAGAGACCCAGCTGTCGCCGACGATTAAGCTCATGTTCCCGTTGCTCAGCATGGAACTCAGCTTCTTTCAACAAGCTGCCAAAAAGGGGCGGTACTAAATTAGACTGTGGGAAGACACATTCTAGATCATAACATAGTCACAGCAACTACTTCAGGACTATTCACTCGTCACTGATTGTTCTCCTTTAAAGTAGTACAAATTGCTCCTGGAAGCATAATTCCGTTTTCTTAACTATTTTGTACTCCTTTCTGCTTCAACGATGAACAAACAGTTGATGCAAAGAGGCTACTTCCTTCAATCAGTTATAAACAAGCAGAACTGATGTCTCTGATTTGTAGTTCACCAATCATCCTACTATATGTCAATGGTTTCTCTGTATCTACCAGAAAATTACATGGATGGTAAATACACGAGACAAGGAGAGATTGAGCATTTATATCCAAGTGGAAAAACGTTCAATATCTGGCATTTAAAAACCTAAAAGTGTAACGATGAAGACTTCTTTATCAACTTGCCAAACTAGTAACAATTTTTTAAAATGTTGGCAAGAGTTCAGCAAAAACTAACTTCATATGCACTGTTGGCATTATAAATTTGTACATACGCTTTAGAAAATAATTTGGTAACATACCAAGAACCACTAAAACACTCAGATCTTCTAACAAGTTAACTCATTTGGTAACCTACCCTCAAAAATTTTTTCAAAAGGAAGAGCACTATGCACAAAAATAACAAAGTTATTTATAGAAGTTTAAAAATGGAATAAATCTAAATATCTAATGGGGGAGGAAAATAAGATATGTGAATGAATGTTCTATCCACTTAAAAGTGATAAATATATAACTTTACAATAACATGAAAAAGAGCTAGGTATATAACATATCAAAAAGAATCACAGATTCACTGTGATTGAACATACATAAATAAAACACATTTAAATAAAACTAGATAATACAAAAAAATCACAGTAACGATGGTGATGAGGAAGAGGATAGCAGTGTGGCTGGTTTGTCTTTTGTCCTGATTTAACAAACATTTATCAACATTCCACTATGTTTCAACTACTGGGATAAAAGCAATAGAAAAGACTCATTCCTTCTCCTTAAAAACTTATTTCCTAATACTAATTTTTAAAGATCGGGTTTTCTTGAATATTACACAAAAAGAGAATGAATCTAGAGGTTATCATTTCAAACCCTGCGTTCTCTGTCACAAAATACAAAGAGAAAAACCCAGCAGGCTGCAGGATTGGCCCCGTCTGCCTCAAGGCTTATCTCAGCACTATCTTACTCAGTTTTAAAGCACCTTATTGCTCACAAGCAGACAATTTGTTCCATAATCTTTCCCATCGTCCTGACTGGCCAATGTTGCTGTCACTCAAGCCAAGCATCCCTATCTCCACCCCTCACCTTGAGCACAGCCTCAGTCCTTGGGACCCTTAGACAGCCCCTGCTCAGGCCTTAACACAGCACTCACCAGAGTGGAACATAATGACATGTTTATGCTTTCCTAGTCGCTACTTGAGAAGGTTTCTACTGAAGGTTGCTTCTCTTTCTCAAGTGCTTAGGCCAGTGCCTGGCACATAATTGGAACTGGGTAAAAATATTTACTGAATGCATGAATTAATTCATCGTCATGGCAACAGTGTGGGAAAGTAGCCTGCTAGGTTAGGGTATCTGAAGCCAGACTGACTCCACACATGGCAGTGTGCAAAGTTAGCTCAAAGCAAAGGCAAGGTCTTTGGGGACGGTGGGAACCAGGCCTGACGAAGTGCGTATTACCTAATCACGGCCTCCACGGCGCAGACTAGCTCCTCGGCGCCGCACTCCCGAGTGTTGATGGGGGGTGGGGAGGTCTGATAGAGGTGGGTCTCCGCAGCGGCCCCCACCTCACTACTGTGATGATTCGAGTGACATCTTTTGCAGTACCTAACTGGCCTGTTTCCGTGACGACCGCAGCACCCTGCGGAAAAGCAGGTGACGACTGCTCTTCTGACATGGGAACTGCAGTTCTAGAAGCAGAGAAAGTAACAGCAATTAAAGTTGAGCTGAAGTAAATGTGGTTAAGTACTGGGGCAAACAGAAACTGAAGGGGCCACCAGAAGTGACAGCACATTGCTAAAGTGCCACGTGTTTCCAAAGCATGATCTATTGTCTAACCAGATAAATTTCAGTACTAAAGATGAGAAGAATGTCTTCCAGGGAGACAGAAATGCTCTAGTAGACCAGAAGGAATGTGTTGGAAAACCAGGGATGAGGAGGATACTTTCTGGATGATTTGAATGTAATGTTTTGAGTGTTTTCATCAGAAATACATGTTTTTGAAAAATCATTGTCCAGAGAGAGGAAATCACACAGCACATGAGAGTAGAAAAAGAAAAACTGTAACTTCTAGAATAAACTTTCAAAATTATTATAACCACCATCCAAGGTCAGACTTCCACCACGCCTTTGTCTTTGTGGCAAACAAGGGTAGGTAGGGACCATGCTATGCTGAGTTCCAGGCCCGGAAGCAAGTCTCTCCCCTCCCATCAACACATTCTTTATCTAAACTCACAGAAGCTGTCACTGGTCACCACAGGGTCACAGTAAAACACAGCTAGAATCACGCACAGCATCAGCCATTGACATCAACCACAGGAAAGGAGCTAACAAATGAAGTGATGGAAATGAGGAAAGTAGTATAGCAAAGAGATTCCTGCTTGATGGCTCTTGTCAGAGCTTCAGAGCTGCCCTGACACTAGGGGGATGAGGGAGGCTGTGTGAAGCAATCTGGGGAGCCATCAGGAACACAATGACATCAGAACAAAACCATGTGCCCCAAGCCCATCAGGCACGCTCCACCACATATTCACTGTTCTTGTGTCCAGAGAGCTTTTCAGCCTTTCAGTAGAGCTTGTGAAGATGTGAACACCTCAGGGGCCTAGAATACCCCAGGCTTTAGGAAATCAGACTTTGGTGAAGATCTGAGAACCCTCTATGATGGATGCTCCCCCAGGAAACTGGACAAGCATATTTAAGGTTAACCCGGCTACACTAGGACATGTAGCAGGCCAGATGTGTCAAATACATTTTTAACTACTGACACTTTCAACTTATGATGGTTTTATTAGGACATAATCCCATCATAAACTAAAGAATATCTGTAATTTCAAGTAGTCTCATCAAATGATAGAACTGAAATAAACCAACAAAAAACTGAACTAAAACAAAACAAGGTCTATATCTTTCATTCATGATGCAATCATTGTTTATTTCAAACTTATTACTCAAAGGTAGGAATATGCCCTACCAAAGAGATAGAAACACCACCTGTGCCCCGAGCATGCTCAAACAATTCTAAACTATTATGAATTTAATGGAAATTATCTAAATTAATTTCACATACAATATAATAATTCCTAAAGGATAAGCAATAAAAATATGCTAATTTGAAACTTAATACTAAAAGTAATACTCTGTGTCTCAAATATACTGGATATGCCACCAAAGCCTGAACATGCTGATTTTAAACTTAAGCTGTGGTTCTAACTCACTGGCAAAGCACTTGCTTAGTATGGACAAGGCTCTGGGTTCAATACTTAGGATCACAAAAAGAAAAAGAACACACACAGAAAAAGAAAATTGTTTTACATAACAGTCTCTCAAGCTTGTAAAAGCCTAAAAGTAAGAAATGACCTCTTGCAGTTAAGACAATTGCTTCTAATAATTTTAGAGGCAAACTGAAATGCCAAAAGTATATGGAAAAAAACTACCTCAAAAATAATCATACAGGGGCTGGGGATTTAGCTCAGCGGCATAAGCACCTGCCTTGCAAGCAGGCAGTCGTGAGTTCGATCCCCGGTACCGATAAAAAAAAAAAAGACAGTAAAAAAAAAAAAAGAAAAAAATAATAATCATACAGGTGACTTGGCAAGCCCCAAACCCAGATAAAATCTGTTTTAAGCCATGGAGTTGGGGGCTGGGGATCTAGCTCAGTGGCACAGCAAGTGCCACTGAGCCTGGCAAGTGCAAAGTTGTGAGTTTGATTCCCTGATGCCAAAAAGAGACAAAGAAATTCATGAAATTTTTACCACGGTTATACTAGCAAAAGCACTATTATCTAAAACTAAAGTGGGTAAACACAGTCATAAATGAAAATAGGTCTGTGAAACCCCAGTTTCTGCACACAGGCATCAGGTTGTTACTGTAACGTGCTGTTTTTTATTGAAAAGAAAAGATATCCTAGAGAGTGTAGCCCAGACCTTGTGAAGACAGATGAATTATGGAAGTAGTCCAAGGAAGCAAAAGATGATCTTAATAAAGGCACATTTGCTATCCCTCGAAGACAGCAAAGAGCTGCTGAGTTTTCAAGGCTGGAGCTGCCACCGACCAATGAATGCTATCTGCTTCCTTTCACCTTTCTGAGTAAAGGTTTATTGCTGTTATCTTGTCCCTGTCACACCAGTGTCTTGGATGTGCAGGGACAGCTGACTGTCCTTTTAATTCCTAAGTCTCCAGTCCATAGATTTTGTGCCAAAACAGCTTCATCAGTGACATACCAGATGCAGACTGACACTGCACTGAATTTTAAGAGTAAAGCCACAATTAGGGAAGCTGTTGGAAAGTCTTTCAAAGTAATGTGCATATTTTACACATAGAAAGAACTTAAATAATGATGTCTAGAGAGTAGATTTGTGGTAGATCACATATGACCACAAAATTCTTGCTACTGCTCCTATAACCAGAAGGATCCTAGTCTCCCACTTGGTGAATCTGTGTGCTCAAGACCTGCTTTAACCAATGCGTGAGGCAGAACTGTTGCTGTGTGACTTCTGAATTCCTGCCTCGGGGGCACTGCTGTCTTCACTCTTGCTCTCTCAGAATACTTATAAAAAAGTCCAGCTCAGCCTTCTAAGGAATGGAACATCTCATGGAATGAAGGAGCTCCAGACACCTCAGTCATCCCAAACACTACAGCCAACCCAGCTAAGGCCCCAAATATGTGTAAGACGTTTGGAACCACCACCCCACCCACCAACAGTGCAACTACATCAGTGAGTCTAGAAGAATTTATTAAAATAACTGCCTTGCTGAACATGGAGTAAATCTCCCACCCACAGAATTGCGGTCAATTGGTCATTACTAGCTGCTACCCTCAACGGTGGTTCATTATGCAACAAATAATAACTGAGATACATGCCCAAAAGTACCTAACCATGACCCACAACCCAAACGTTTAAGTGATTTGAACAAGATCCACACAGAAAAAAGGGAGGGGAGTCTAAAGATCTCAATGAGTCAGAGCTATTCATAAGACACTACTACCTTCTCATACTTTCCAACTACCCCCCCCCCAAAAAAAAGAGAGAGAAAAAAGTGGAAGTGACTTAGCGAAAGTTTGTGAAAGCAGTTAGGGGAAATTTGAAAGGGAAATTCTTTAGCTAGGTATATTATTTAACTGTATAAATAAAAATTTTCCATATAAATTCAATCATAGTATGTTTTCCTATATAGATATTAAACTGCCCTACATTTTAGAGCAATAAAGAATTTTAGCATATAAATAATCCTTTACTAAAGTTAAGTTACAAGCATTGCACTATCATTCAAACCTTTTTCTAATAAGGCTCCTATCCCAAGTTACAAGTTTTTATTTCAAATTACATAACAGAAACAATGTGTGAAAGACAAGTGAGCAAAAGCAGAAATGGAAATAGAAATACAGGCCACTTGAACATCACAATTTTGCATGCTAAATCACTTTCTTTCTCTTTTAACAAGTACAGTGACATGTACATACTGAGAAACCATGGTGCAGGAATGAGGCAGATGTCAATGAATGAATTTACATACAAACACAGCAAATCATGCCCCACAACAGATGGTGTGCTCTTACCTTTTTTTGACATATAGCAGATATTTCAGCTGTAAGGGGAAGGTATACAAAATATCAACATAGAAAGAGCCCACTTTAAATAAGGGCAGCCGTGAAGAAAAATAAAAACAACAAAAACACAACCTATAGATTTGGCAAAAACAGCTTTTGATTTGTCCATTATTTGTCATATTCTTTTACTGGTCTCTGTTTTCCTCCAAAAACATAAAATACCTCTTTCTCATCTGATAGTGATTTCAGAATTTTTATTTCATGAAATTAAAAACATTTTCATGCTGTCAGTATGTCACCTAATCTCACAACTAATTCAACCTTCTCAGTATGACTTGGAAATCACATAATGTTACAGTCAAACAATTTTAATGTTACTTCTTAATTTTACAGAGGACAAAATGAAGGTCCACTATGGTTGACTAAATTCTTCATGATCACACAGGAGGCTATGAGTGACAGAGACACATGTAGAGCTAAAGTCTCTGAATTCCATTTTCTGCTCTTTCCACAATGCTGTGATACTGGTTAGATGTGATATATTTAGGCTACCACTGTGGGTTGTTCTATATCAAACCATAGGAAAAAAAAACCTACTAACTTGGTCTCCTTATATTTGAACTATGAACTTATATCACTCTTAACTAATGTAAAATCAGCTATATGGTCACGTAAGAGAAATCAGTTTTCAAATCCATGGACCAACCAGATGAAGCAAACTACTGACTGGATTACAAGATTGACTTTAACAAATGAGTAAGAATTCTTTTTAGTGAGCATAGCAATTATTTCCATGGAAACTGATGCTAGAGAGTACTTGAAAATAATTTTTCCAAGAATCTATTAACACTTTCCTCAAACTAGGGCACAACAAATGACTAACATCTTATTTATGGGATGGTTTATGTCACAGTTTATTTAAAAGGTAAATGCTCCCAAATTCTGGAATTATGAATTAGTGGAGGCCAAATCAGTGAAATTTATAACTTAGTCTAAAAAAATGATTTTGCACAATTAATGGGCCATGGATCATTGAGTTAATTTATCTCTTCAAGTAGAAATGGTCTAATATTGAAAGACTGCAAAGAAGGAATATAATAACCATTGTGCAAAGGTAATCATTGACCAAGAGCCTTAAGTTTAAAAAAAAAAGTATTTATAGAACTTAACATAAAGGTTTTAACATTTCTTTTGAAAGGGGTCTTTCATGTAAACCCTTTTATTATAAACACCTAAAGTCAAATACCAAGCTTTCCCGTGTCCCTGATCTGCACTCATTGTGGACCCATGTATCTCCATAATCTTTTCCTCACCTTTTCCTTTCTTCAGCACTTGGGATTGAACCCAGAGCTTTGTATTCGGCTACATCCCCAGGCCTTTTGAACTTGTATTTTATTTTGAGATGGGGTCTCACTAAATGGCCCAGGCTGGGCTTGAACTTTAGAACTTGCATCTTCCTACCTCAGCCTGTAGGGAGTGCTGAGATTACAGTCATGGCCTGTTTTTTAAGTACTTTTCTTTGTCATTTCAACTGCCAACAAAGTGGACAGAATATCAGCTTTTCCCAGGTGTTCCCAGATGTTCCCAGAATGCTCTGTCTGGGACCTCCTAACTTTTAAGACACAGCTTTAAGAAGCACTGCAAATCTTGTCTTTCAAATGAAATGGACTAGGTATATTTTATCTCCATTTTACTGATAGGGAGACTCAGCTTTAAAGCAACTAAAAGATTTTCCCCCAAACGTATAGTAAATTGCAGGAAAAAGGTTCATTATTCACTTCTCTTTCTGTTGGTGTCCCTTATTCCCTTTCTGACCTGGCACAGCCTGACATATCTATTATACAAATAGAAAACCCCTTTAGGGGCTACGGATTTAGCTCAGCGGCATAAGCGCCTGCCTTGCAAGCAGGCTGTCGTGAGTTTGATCCCCAGTACCCATAAAAAGGAAAAAGACAAAAACAAAAAAAAGAAAACCCCTTTAGACTAATTCAGCAGGGCTTTGGTTACACAAAATCCAAACTGCAACATGTAACCTTAATTTTGGTAGAGCTGATACCTCTTCCCTCATTATTAAGTGTTTGGGTATATTATAAGCAAGATATTGACATTAATGATTCAGGTCAATGAATATTCAGGGAATATAATGCTTTGGTTACTATCTTTGTAAAATAAAATAGCACAAAAGGGGATAAATCAACCATGTCATTAGTCATGATTACTCATTATTCATCCTTTTTGAAGTAAACCATACCTTGTGGCAAAAGAACATCAATCAACCACTCACTGTGGTCCCTGTAAAGAAAAGTAAAATTCATTTTTGAGCTTTGCTGAAATATTCCCCTTCTACATGAATGTTTATAAGCTACACACTATTGGTGAAAGGCTTTTAATAGAAAGGAAATATAATTAAGAGCATTATCATAATAAACTTTTTAAATGTTTAATGCATTCCAGCTAAATTATAAATTATAGGTATTTCATCATATTTAGTTATCTTTAAATGATACTTTTCAGATGCTAATTATGTAACCAAAATACTCCATGATCTGCACAAAGCTGAATGCAACTGTGAAACTAACCAGCAAAGAGAACCCACTTGAATTATATATGCCAGCTGGGGATATAGCTCAGTGGTACAGCACCGCCTGGCAAGCATGAGGTCCTAGGTTTGATTTCCCGTACCAAAATAAACAAAAAAATAAATAATAAATTATATGTCATGTTTGGAAACCACAGATTTTTTTAAATATACCTAGCTTTCTCTGTGGCCTTTTTAATAGGGTTGCTTAAACACTGGAGTTATTTTGTTAAGTGGAATTTCTTTCTCATGTTTCATGGAGAGAAACACGGCAACTTTGAAAGCTGAATTCCTCCAAATGACAGCTTGCTATATGTTAAATATCAGATAAAATAATCTTTTAAAAAACACAACAAAACTAATGGGAAGGTTGGATAATGTAATCAATGCCAGTCCAAACGATTTTCCTTATTGTTGCTCTTAAAGGACTCACACTTACCCTGCAATCCTCTCACTGCATTCTTCACAGAGATACAGTGGGGGTGGTTTGTCGCCCAAAGCTACTGACAAGGAAGGGTCTATACACATCTGAAACAAATGAAAAGGCATAATGAATACTGCTGTTTCTGTGTATTACTTTCCCTGTTTCATGAGGAAAAATGCTTCAATGATGACAGATTTTTCAAAAGCAAAGTGGAATAAATATTTTTAGTAAAACCCATTTGATCTGTAACTGTTTAGAATATGAATATGGCAGATGAATCCACACTGGAAATTTCATAATGTTGTTTTGGTAGTTTTTCATTTCTCCTATTATTTGTAACTTAAAGTATCAGGAAATCCACCCTCATTCCACAAGAATAAAAAATAATCTTGTTCAATGGCTACTCAAATTGCCTATGTGTGTGATGAATACAATAATCTCTCTCTGGGAACATGAAGATGTATTATTAAGATTTCAAACTCATAAATGATGCCAATATGCTGGCAGTAGAGAATTTAGCTTCTTAAGAGCCATCTCATTCAGAAAAGTTTAGCAATAAATCTAACAATGGTGGTTTGCTTTTCTTACTCTGGAATCCTACCTTTTTACCAATCACCTAATGCTTCATTTTCATCTCATTTTTTTTTCCTGCGTATGACCTACAATTTGTTTACCCCCGAGGCTTTGTTATTTATGGCTGGGGTCTTGCTAGCCTAAGCATGGAGATAAAAAATGTTCATTTCACAGTTAAGCATCAGAATATTTCAAGTATCTTGATGTTTTACATCAAGCAAAATAAAACATTCAGATAACTAACTGCATTTTGTGTTCTGTATTTGTTTAAATTTCTATTAATTCATCAAAGTTCCTGCTTTGCAAATGATAACCTGTGTTATAGTTGATTGTACAGTAAATATGACAAGTTAAAAGCACTTCTAAAACTTCACTCTATCTTTAGCTGCTTTCACTGATGTGAAGGGGAAATGACCCAAACTTACAACCCAAACAGCCTGTAAGTCAAAGTTAAAATCCTAAAAAATTTCAGCTTGGAGAAATAACAGAATTGCTAAATTTAAATAATTAAGTCATCAAATTTATATATTCCCTTATATTAAAAGCACAGGGTGAAAATAATCCTTATATAAGTTTCATATTTCTTTAGATGCCATGAATAGCTACTTTTTGGCATGTTAAACCAGAAATTAGCACATTTTTTTCTAACAATGACCAAACAGTAAGTATTTAAGATTTTGTGACCATATAGTCTCTGATATAATTGCTCACTTCTGCTGATACAGCATGAAAGGAGTCATAGACAGTATAAAAGCACCTGAGAAAAGCTGTGTTCCAATAGAACTTTACTAACAAAAATAGGCATAGGTCAGACTTGTCTGTGAGCTTCAAGAAAGTGGATGATGATTAAGTAAGATTTTGAGGTAATGAAAAATCTCTTGGAACTAAATAAACACTATACTTGCCAACATTTTGATAATGTACTAAATTGTCCAATTTAAAATAGTTAATTTTATATTATATGAATTTATTTAAGTTTTTTAAAATGACAAACTAGGATAGTTTGGACTAGAGAACTTTCAGGAGAAAAGTAAGACCAATCCAGATTAACAATCTGGGCTGTTTAAATAGAAAAAGAGAAAATATAACTCCTGGTGATTTCTATGATTGGAAGGCCAGAAAGTATTACTAACCAGAACTTATGAGAATGCAGTCTGACACAAAATCAAGGAAAAAAATAACTGGAGAAACCTGTGACAGGCAGGAGGAAGAAAGTAAGGATATAGAAACAAAAGTAAAAGAAAGCTATGCAAGTCTCATCCCTAGGAATCAAGATGAACTCCATGAGCAATAGCTAGTCCTATCTACATTCAGCTCAAAATAGCCTCACACCAAGACAAAGGCTCTTTGAATTCCAAATGTCTCTGAAAATCAAGAAAGGGGTGCACATAGTAGAATGGGAGAAGTCCATGCTTTCACTGACAGGTTTTCTTCGTCTGCTTTTTCTCAACATTCATCCAGTTTGCACTCATCAAAGGCAAAGACACAAGAATGCCCATCGTTGTTAGTATGATATATTTATACGACAATGTTATTATTGGCACCCTATTGTCATTTTGATTTATGAAACACATTATGTTGCTTACTTTAAATTTATAGCATCTCATTTTACCTGTCCTTTGTTTCTGTACCATGACAGTATTAATTTTCTATTATTTGGCCATCTGGACAATCTGTGTAGCTTTAGAATAAGCGAAGCAAACTCTCATAGCACCAAGTTCTTAGAAGTAACTGAACTCTAATAAACACTCACCCTTCACAATATGAAATTTAACACTTACAAATCCAGACACTGGTTTATTTAGCCAAACCAACAAATATACCATAAGTAACTTTGTTAAAAGGTATAAGTATTTCTCTTAATATTCAACTTTTGAGATTCAAGGTTTTACCAGGATTGAAAGAATATGATGTGGAAAAAAGAATGAGGCTAAGGATCAAATTACCTCATTTTGTTTTCAATGCTGATACTGCCTATGTTGTCTTAGGAGAGTGACCTGACCTCTCTAAGGCACTGTCTCCTTACCTCCAATGTAACGCTCTGTGCGTATGCTGTGCAAACACTTCTCATTTCTTTCAATAAGTCACATTTTTTATCTGAGCTAAGATTTATTGATTTTCTGTTTTTTCCCTACATTTCTTGAGTATGTATTGTCACATAGTTGGCAGTATGAATCTGAAGAGTACCAGTAAAAATGGGGAAAATACATTTCCCTGGGTTATTAGCTCAGATAGAAGTCAATTAAGGACTATGTAAGTGTTCCACCAAGATTCTTTTGACAGCTCACTACTGCATATCACTTGGCTATGAACTGAAAGGCTATGAACTAGGCTGAAAACTGTAGGCACTAATATTCACAGCTCTGTAAATCCTGTCAGACTGAACATAGCGGTGCTTGAGATTACTACAGATCAAAAGCCTCTTGCTCTACAGACAAGCATGAAATTTACTACATTTTAATTAGCAATTTTCTACTAATAATTTGACCACTAAAAATACAGCATGCCACTGGGTCTAATAAAACAATACCTTCACAGCTGGTTTGTTAATTGCATTGTGGCATTCAATGTGTTGGCAGTGGATGGGATTCCAAGCTGTAAAGCAAAACAGAGTTAATGAATACTTCTCATTGAAATTATTCATACCCTGGTGAAAGCACAGAACTTTGCTATTTCCTTTTTCCCAAATAGAATCATCATTATTGGTTCCCTAATAGAAATATCATTATAATCTATAAAAAGTTTTAAAATAAAGCAAAGATATCATAATTTCAGCCTTTTCACTGGGAAATAAAGCCAGGATAAGATGGCATATGTAGCACCATATTACCTCACAATGTTATGACACTAACAAGTTATTGAAGATTTTTATAACTATATTTTCACTTAATTTGCCAACACTTCTGTGGGGTAGACAGAGAAGAGTATTAATTTCATTACATATAAGACAAGTTAGTTTAAAAGGTTGTGAAGCTTGATATGGATGCAGAATTAGCATATATAAATTGGGACTAGGACCTGTATTTCTTAGTTTCTGGTATTTTGCTCTTTTCACTGTAGTATATTATGCTAAATATCCTAAATTTTTGGTATCAGGAAGCATTTCAAGTTTATAATAATGAAAATGAGAGGAAAGGCATTCTCCAACACTCCATTTTCCACTCCACCATTGTCAAATGTGAAAACTGGAAGGATGAGCTTCTTGCCCAGATGAAATTTATCTTTATCACACATGTAAGCCACATACTAAACCTCTGTTAGTCTTCTGATAACGATTATCCAACATCTTAATTCAATATACAGATAGTATAATAAGGAAAAGAACCAAGTGACCTAGAATAAACCAGAATGAAAACCAAACCTGGCAATTAACATCCTTTAGACTATTATGTTGTGTAATGTACTTAACTAATAAACTCCATCATTTTTAAAAAGGTGATACATTCATATACCTTAAAGTTTAGTGCATCTTTCTAAACTATCATATTCTAATTTTTCTAGGACAAAAAAAATCAATTTATACAAAAAGAAAATAATTACAGATTACAGACCACTAGTAATATTGATTATATTTTAGAAAAACAAAGAAAATTAAATGAATAAATAAATATTTAAGTATACATATTTCACAGCTCTCAAGTTAGTCAAGATAACTACAAAAGTGGCAACAATTTTTCTTGTGCAAGAAGAGAAATTTAAAGAAAAAAAAGCTGCCTTTAACCTGTACATGAATTGCAAATATATGGAATATGTGCCACATTCTTCCAATCCCAAACTCATGTCAGACAAAAGTAATCCATTATAGCATTCCTTCCTGCTGAGTTCATAAATGGCCTTAAGAAAGCTTCAAGCAGTCACCACTAACCAAAATAGAGTTAGCACAACAGAGTTAGGGTGAAACTGGCTAGCCATTTCTAAATCAGTGTATTGTGAGAATTTTTGCAGACTGGTTAACAAATAGTAAGTTCTTAATACTTACAGACATAAGTAATATTCAAAATATATAATAACTATTGTGGCACAGGTATAAACAAATCATTACCATAGCATTAAATCAGGGCTCTAAAGCCTTCTCTGCCAGAAATTAATGCTTTTTGTGAGATTCATGGGAATACACAATTCCTCTCACTTTTTGTTCCATTACTGCCATGTGTAACTGAGTTAAGAACTGGTTATAGGATGCTCCACTTAAGTTGTCAAAACCACTCTACATTTAAGCTTACTAGCACAGTGATTCTTAGTTTCTGTTGTGTGTCAAAAATCACTTGTCAAGGTTTTTGAAATAGAATGCTACAAGTGATGTTAGATATATTGAGTTAAAAAGCTCTGGGGATAAAATAAAAGTTGTAATTGGGAAAAGTACTAAAATTGACTCTGATGTAAAGGCAATCAACATATCTTATTGTGTGGCAAATATAGTAATGATAGAATGATGATTCAAATGTAATAAAAGATAGCACAAAAACATGGCGGACACTAATTCTGCTTCTGATTACGATGACTCAATTGTTATAAGACTTGCCTTGCTACCATAAATAACTAGAAAACTGAAAAATATATGAAAAAATCATTTTGAGAAACTGAACTACAGATATGTTAAGTTAGTGTTCCTTGACAGAAGAGAAATAATGCAGTCAATCACACAATTTCCCTGGTTTTCTTTGTAAAAACAACTTCAGACTTGATCCAAGAAGGGGAAAGATAAGCAAAATAGGGAAGTTTTATTGAATTGAGGAAAGTTGAGATAAAAGATGCAAGATAGGTGAAATTTGCTAGATAGACAACAAAGAAAGAGTAGAATTAATTTTGAGTCTTTGGCTTTATAGTATGTTAAACATGTGTAAGGTAAAACTCCATAAGGATGAAGAACAGCTATGGGGGACCTATAAGCTAAACAGTTCTAGTGCCCAAACATGGTTAGGAGATATTGAATTTCTAACCAGTCAGAGTGGCAGAAACTCATTTAACACCTGGGGCATACAACAGAGACTTAAGGAGGGTTATACCTTAGAAAAAGAACTAAAATAACAGAGGAATGCTACCTTAGATTTATCTTGACAAAGGTTAAGGACAAGCCTTGGAAAAGTCAAACTGATCAACTAAAAACTCTAATGCACTTTAGTGGAAAACCAACAAGTAAAACAAACTCCAGTGTATTTTAATGGGGAAAGAAAACAGATGTTCAACAAGGTAATATTCATGAAATCCAGCATCCAATCAAAAAAATCACATGATGTTTAAAGAGGTAGGAAAATGCTACTCAGAAACAGGAAAAGGTTGACCAAACAAAACATAGCCAGAAATTATAGAGATGAAGCAGTTAGCAAATAACAACTATAAAAATCTAATATAAACATATTCAAAGGAAAACATGATTATGAACATGATGACAAAATGAGGACAAAGATCAAAGGTATAATAAAAGAAACAAATGAAATTTCTTAAAATAAAAAATTAAAAAAAAACTAAAAATGCAAAATCTGAAATGAAAATTCACTGAATCGACTTAATGGTTATTAGAAAATGCAAAACAAATAATCAGGCAATTAGGAGACATAACAGGAAGAACTCAAAATGAAGTACTTTAAGAAAAACAGAACTTCAATGAGCTGTGGGAAGTTTTCAGGAAGTTGAAAAATACATACAATTAACAACAAAAAAGGATCACGAGAGGGATATTTTTGAAGAAACACTGTCAAATTTATTCAACATTAATTGAAACTATAAACCCAGATTCAAAAAGTTCAATGACTCATATGGAAGATAAAAGGAAAGAAAATCACATCAAAACTCATTAGATTCAAACTGATGAAAAGCAATGGTAAGAAGAAAACCTAAGAACAGCCAAGAAACAAAACAAAACAAAACCAAAAGACACATTACTTACAGGGGAACAAAGATAAGAATGATCATTGATTTCTTGTCAGAAATAATGCAAGCCAGAAGACAATGGAACGACATCTTTAACAGGCTGAAAGAAAAAAACCATCAACCTAGAATTCTACACTAGTGAAAATATCCTTCATAAATCAATATTAAATAAAAATTATTTGAAGATAAACACTAGGTAATAGAATTAATTGCCAGTTTGGATCCACTACAAGAAATTGTAAAGGCAACGTTTCAAATGGAAAGTAAACGATGCTGGCTAGAAGGCTGGGCTAACACAAATACATAAAGTGTTAGACATGTCAAATATAGTAAATAATTACAAAAGATGTTTTTGCTCATATTAACATGTTGTTAAAAGATGATTGAGTACTTAAAACAAAAATAATAGCAATGTATTGCGAGACTAAGTATTTGTGTGTGTAATGTTTGATAATCAGAATAAAAAGAACAGTCAGGCCTCTTGGAATATGGCCATAGTCCCAGCACTCAGGAGGTTGAAAAAGGAGGACTGCCACAATTTCATAGCCAACCTGGGCTACACAGTGAGTTCCAACAAACCCTGAACTACATAGTGAGGCCCTGTTTCAAAAAATAATACTAAAAAAAATACATAAAAATAATAATGGAGACAAATGAAAATATATATAATTATTGCATTAGTATATAAGCTGGTATATTATTATTTGAAATAGACTATGAAGTTTAAAGGTGTATCTTATAAACCTTAGAGCAATTTTTTTAAAAAGAAAAACTAACAATTTAATACACAGGTAAAACTGGATGCAAATAACCTAGAAGAAGTCAAAATATATAAAAGAAAGACTACCTGTGACAAATATAAAACAAAGAGACCGAAACTCAACCACATCAATAATTACATTAAATACAAACAGTCTAAACAATAAGTACATTACATGTAAATAGTCTAAAGAACAGATAATGTAAAATTAGTTTTAAATTTATCAAAAGGCATGCCTTAGTTACATGCTACCTGTGAGAAGCACTTGAAATATAAAAAAACAGGTAAGCAATAAGTAAACAGAAAAAATGTATGTCAAGCTACTAGTTTCTTTTTGTTCACTGAAAAAAAAAGTTTTGTCCTTTTTTTTGTTTCTTCTTTATTAGAGAGCCTCTGTTTTTCTCTATCACTTGAACTCTGAGTAATATTTTGGCCCTTCTTTTAAAATCATGATATGCAGTATACTAACCATTGTTATTCTCTATGTTGTTATGACATTTTGTTTCATATTTTCATAGAAGAGTGTGTTTTAATATTTTCTTTAGCAGTATCTACTTTTATTACACTAAAAGGAAAGAAAAAGAAAACTAAAATTTTTATAGATTAAAGTAACAACTAAGACAAAGACATTAGCAGAAAAAAGAAAAATATTTCACAAAGATATAAAGGCCAATTGATCAAGAAGACATAACTATCATAAGTATATGTGCATCAACTAAACTAATAAAATTGAAGAAAAAAGTTCAAAATGATTGTTGTAAAGTTCAACATTTTCTTTCATTAACTGATAAAACAAGTAATTGGTAACACAAGTAACTGATAAAAAAAATCAGTAACATTAAGACCTGAATAATACTCTCAATCAGCTTAACAGATAAAAACAAAAACCTCACCACATAACCACTGTGTAAAACACACTGTTTCAAATACTCATGTAACATATACTAAAATTAGACTATATTCT